ATTTTAATTTTTTAAGGAGTTAATAGATTTTAAAGATCATCTATTATATCAGAGAGTTAAGACTTCCTGCACCATATATTCTTCAAGGAAATTCTTCACATTCACCCAAGAATCAAAAACTGTATTATTGGATATGTCTTCTGAAGTTATCACAACTCCACTATTTATATTATCCGATATATTATTATATTCTTTAGAATCAGTATTTATTTGGTAAGTCAGTATTTTATTGCTGTTCTCTTTATTATTATCACAATTATTGGGCGATGCCTGGGTAGAATATTTAGCATTATTATCAAAGCAGATATATCTTTCTATCTCTATCAAATTCGCAAGATCATAATTTAAAAGATTCTGTATAATAGTTTGATATAGTAACATATTTTTATTGCAATGATTATTAAGTAAAAGTGATAAAAAATATAAAAAACAAAATTATTCATGGGATCAGAATTTGCTTTATATATAATTTTTGGATTGTTTAGGATGTGATAAAATTGATACATTGCATGATGATATAAATAATTAGGCTTTGGGTGTGATTTAGCAATACACATCACATAGTGATATAAATTAACAAGCTTCGGTTTTATTTGGGATACGATCTAGCAATGTGTATTGCATAATAGTACAAGTTATTAGTAACAATTGTATTTAATATTATATAATATTTTTATAAAATATTTAAGCAAACTGTTGCTACATGATATAATAATAACTTTGTTCATATTGTATTAGTGAAGTAATTTGTATATTATAAGTGATGCTCTCAAGTTCATGATCACATAGTTATATAAAATATTAATAAATTTATTTTTATTCATGTGATTACGCAAAATATTAATAAATCTGATTTTTATAGTGGGACGATAAATAATAACTTCGCAGTGTGCAATATATATATTTATTTTATAATATATATAAGAATATTTATAACTATAACTAGTAGTGATAATTACTAATATATAATTAGCTAATAAATTTGCAAAATCAAATATAATGTACAAATTAATTTGTATAACAAAAAATAAAGATATTTTTTAAAAAAAGTTCAATATCTCAAGAATTTGTTTATAAAACTACCTTTAATACTTTAACAAAAAAATTTCTTGCTAGATTTTGTATATATCTAATATCTTGCTAAAATTCTAAGCCTTACTCTAACTCTAAAGTAAATAAAATAATTTTTTTTTTAGTTTATTATTATTGGCTAATTATATACTGATGATGATCACTTTTAGTTATTTTAAGTTAAACTTTATATATAATGTCAAATTATATTTTCATATCTGTTTTTTGATATTTTTATATCTTTATATAGATTATTTTTTTTAAACCTTTAATTGAAGGTATCTTGACAACTATCTAACCAAATCTGATATTTTTTCATTAGAATTCTACATATCTGTAGAATTTAAATGAAAAAAATTTATTGAAATTGGTCAGGTAGTTATTGAGATACTTTCAATCAAAGTTAAAGAAAATTTTGCTACAATTATTATTTTGATAGATGTTTAGATTTTTTTAAACTTTGATCAAAAGTATCTTGATAACCACATGATTAAATTTGATAATTTTTTTTATTTGAATTCTATGTGTCTGTTGAATTTAAATAAAAAAATCATTGAAATTAGTTAGGTGATTATTGAGATACTTTCAATCAAAGTTAGAGAAAATTTTACTACAACTATTATTTTGATAAATATTTTAAGATTTTTTAAAACTTTGATCAAAGATATCTTCATGCCCACCTGACCAAATTTGATAAATTTTTTTATTAGAATTCAACAAGTCTGTAGAATTTAAATTAAAAAAAGGAAATTTCTAATTTACACCACAAGTAATCATCATCTGTATTGCTATATCTCAAAAACAAGACTATGAAATAGGATTAGGTAGACTAAGTAAAAATGTTCTGAACTTCTAAAAACCTTATGTAATTTAAATTTGAGGCTATTATAACTGACCTCTGTTTTGGTTTTAAACTGCACCCTAATATTAAAATTTGGTAAAACATATATCACTATGAATAATAATTAGTTTTTTTAAAAAAAAAATTATCAAATTTGGTCAGGTAGTTATTAAGATAACTTCAATTAAAGTTTAAAAAAATCTAAACATCTATCAAAATAATAGTTGCAGCAAAATTTTCTCTAACTTTAATTAAAAATATCTTGATAACCTCCTAACTAATTTTAATAAGTTTTTTTTATTTGAATTCTACAGACTTGTAGAATTCTAATAAAAAAATTTATTAGATTTAGTTAGGTAGTTGTTAAGATACTTTTAATTAAAGGTTTAAAAAAAAGATCTATATAGGGTGTTAAAATATCAAAAAAGTGTATGAAAATATAATTAGTCTATATAATATATATAGAATATATATACAATATATATAAGATATATATAAAATATTTTGCATCAACTCTACATATGGGAAGTTAATAGAAAAAAAACAAATTTTTTCTAAGTAAAAGATTTCTTAACTTTAAACTTAAATATTTCAACAACTATATAATCAAATTTATTAAATTTTTTTTATTTTAATTTTATATAATTTTAATATTAAAATAAAAAAAATTTTTTATCAAATTTGATTAGATAGTTGTTAAGATATTTTAATTTAAAAATTAAAAAAAATTTATTAAAAATGATTTGTCATTTTTCTATTAACTTCCCTCTATATATTAGATACTTGATAAATATATAATATGTAATACATATCAAATATATAATAAATTTTTATTAATATCTGTTAGATACTTATCTGTTATCTATAGTATCTGATATCTGATATTTATATTGTATATATATTCTATATATATTCTATATACAGTATATCTTATATATATTTGCATATTAGATATATGTAGAATATATGTAGAATATATTAATTTTGATTTGTATTAATAAATGCATATTGTTGATATATATTTTATATAATAAATAATAATTTAGATTTTTAATTTTAGTCTAATTTTAAATATATATCTGAATGAATAAAGTTTCATAAATATTATTAAATAGATTTGATTTAAAATTATATATATATATTTTTTTTTTAGTATTAAGATAATCCTTTTGGTTAGTACTTTTATTTATATTTAACAAGTTACTTTTACAGTATCAGTCCTGCATTAACTGTATATATATTTTTATATACATAACCTCAAATTAATATTTGTTACAATCTTAGAACAATTTTATTCTCAGAGTAAACTTGCTAGAGTTTTCTGTACTCACAATTTGGCTAACCTAGATTTTGGTAATTTACGCCAAGTTTGAGAACAAGTACTTGTGAGCCAAAACTGCTACCATTACCTATTTCTGCCCTTGTAGAGTTCATTCAGACCCCAGTACACAATTTACAGACTATTACTAGTTTTAATTCTAACAATTCTAAACTACTAATTCAGATAGCCTGGAAGGGCTATGACCTGCTTCTGGTCCTCACGATTGGGTTTTTTTTCTCTGGTTTTCTCTGGTGGTCTGGTTGGTAGAATATCTTGCCAAATACTTCGGTCTTATTCAGTTTTGCCAATTCTCCTGATAACGATCTTTTACATAGTATTATTAAAGATTTGTGCTATCTTTCTACTCGAGTCTTGCCAAGCGAGCATTTATTGTCCTTCCTGGTTCTTTAGATTAATACGATTCAAAAGCTTATTTGTATAACTTATATATCACACAAATATCTTATAATCTCCTAATCTTGTTGGTGCTACCAAGATTACAAAAATCTTTCAATTGATTGATCAATAAATATCATGGATTAGCGTGAAATCAGATTATCATGAAATTTGGATCTATTTTATGTACGATTTTTAAAAATTTTTAGAGCCTTTTTTGTAGGCTTTTTTTTATAGTTAAGTTAGGATTTAGGGTTAGAATTATTAATAAAAGAGTATAGGTAGATTTTGGTAGGGCTTATATTTTCAAATCGAGACCTCCAAATTTCACGATAATCTGATTTTACGATAATCCGTAACAATAAATAACAGAAGTCGTGACAGATAGAATTTTCAAAATTCATTGTCAGTAGGTTTTGAACCTTCTATCTAGCCAATATATTGCTTAAGAGTGTAACAACTTAACCACTTCACTAAGTCACTATATCCTTCTATTTAAGATTATATAATAACAAAGAATTACTATATATTTTTAAAAAATAAGCTACCTTCAAAAAAGCTATATCTTTTTTTTGAAGTGAAAATATAAAAAACAACTTTGTTTTAAAAATAAGCTATTTCTATAATTGATAATTATTGCTATATAGTAAAGTCAAAATTTTACTTAATAAATCGATCTATCTTATTAAATAAAAGTTGTTTAGAAGAGCAAAATGTATATATTTTAAAAGTTTTATTCAAATTAGATACTTTTTTATTAATATATTTTTGCATATTATAAATAAAAAGTTTTTTGATTTTATAAAATTTTTAGAATATATATATTTTGATCTTTTAAACAACTTTTATTTAATAAAAAAGGTCGATTTACTTAATAAAAATTTTTATAAATAATGAAAAATTGCTTTTATTTAATAATAAGCTATTTGTAATATTTTTGTATAATTTTCTTTAAAAAAAAATAGCTTATTTTAGAAGATATATAGTAGATTTTATTTAGAATAATTAGCAATTATACAAGTTTATAAACTTCAGTATTATATTATAAATATTTTTTTTATTTAGCGGTCCTGCCTATTACTCTTTATTGGGAAATACCAGAACTTATATCAACAGAAAGATACAATTTTCTATACTATATTTCACGTGAGTAAAGATCAACTCAAACTAAGCTCAGAGAATGACCCACCTAGTAGCAATCGGCTTCATATTGGATCCTCAACTTACTGAAAATATAAACCCTCCGATCTTTAGCCCTAGCAGCTGTATCACTTCATCAAAAGAGCCAAATTAACGAAAGCACAAACACAAAAGAAAAAATAAAACAGAGATAAAAAGGAAATATGATAAAAGATACAAACAAGAAAGATAAAGAGATAAGGGGATATCGAAAAAAAAAAAAATATTTATAATATAATACTGAAGTTTATAAACTTGTATAATTGCTAATTATTCTA